TCGCGACCGCCAAGGCCCGTTTGGGCCGGTGGCGACACTCGTTAAAAACCCTCTCAGCCAAAACCCATTTTTTCTGTTTTTTGGGACAAAAGACTGAGGTGGGAAAAGAGTGCACAACTCATTCGTACAAAAGTCAGTTGAAGTAGAACTTGAGATGCGTAGCATTCCAAGTTCGTGGTATAGGTTTTCCGCTGAGTTCTTCTAATCGGTACGCTCCATTTTCCAAGTCTTCTGTAACTCGGAATGGGCCACCCCAAGTGGGTGCAAGCTTCCCATCTGACGTATCCTTTCGGGCTTCGCCTAGCAATCGCCACACCAAGTCACCAACTCGAAAGAACGAGGTCGTACCCGGGTGTTGTATCTTCGAGAAGCTCGGAGCTTGCATGCTTCTTCGTGGATTTGAGCTTTGTCTCTAAGCTCGTCCACCAAGTCGTGGTCAACTGCCAACTCTTGAGCGTTCTGCTCGCTATCGAAAACCTGACGTCGGTGGGACGTCTCTCAAACTTCTACTGGGATCATTGCGTCAGCTCCATAAGTCAGCCTGGAGGGTGTTTCTTACGTGGTTGACTGGGGGTGCAATGATACGCCCAGAGGATGCTGGGAAGTTCGTCAGGCCACTATCTTTTGGCGTTTCCCAGCCGTTTCTTGAGTTCCCGGAGGATGACTTTGTTGGCTGCTTCGGCTTGGCCATTGGTTTGGGGGTGTTCCACCGAGGTTGGAAGATGCTTGATACCGAGCTCTCGGAGGAAGTCCTCAAATCCATGTGCGATGAACTGTCGGCCGTTGTCAGTAACGAGGGTGTGAGGGATTCTGAATCTGCAAACGATGTTTCTCCAGGTGAACTTTTGCACATTTTCAGTGGTGATTTTGGCGAGTGGGCATGCTTCAATCCATTTGGTGAAGTAATCGATTGCCACGAGGAGGAACTTGAGCTAGCCTTTTGTAGGGGGGAATGGCCCGAGGATGTCCATTCCCCACTGAGAGAAAGGCCATGCCGACATCATGTGGTGGAGGGTTTCGGGCGGTTGCCGGTGTGTGTTGCCGAACTGCTGACATTCTTTGCATTTTGTATGTAATCTTGGCAATCTGACTTTAGAGTGGGCCAGTAGTATCCAACCCGGAGTACTCTGGTGGCCATCAAGCGAGCTCCAGAATGCAAGCCACATATGCCCCGACCAATTTCGTCGATGACGTAGGCTGCTTGGGGTGCGGTCAAACACTTGAGCAGCGGGGTGGAAATGCCACGTTTGAATAGTTTGTCTCCGACAATGACAAACTTAGCCGACCTCATTTTCACCTTCCGAGCTTCGTCTTTGTCTTCGGGCAAGGTACCCTCTTTCAAGTAATTCCAGATGCCTGTCATCCAGGCCAGGTCTCCATTGTCGCTGACGTTGACAACCTTGCCATCGAAGCTAGGCGAGTGTAGGGTCTCCTCGATGATAGTTCGGTGCTGTCTAGGTTTTTTGGTACTGGCGAGCTTCGATAGGAGGTTAGCTCGGGAATTTTGTTCGCGGCACATGCTGTATGGCGAACTCGTCGAAGGACGAGATCTGCTGGGATGCGATGTGGAAATACCATTGCAGAAGGGTGTCCTTTGCCTGGTAGGTCCCATTGAGCTGCTCGACCATGAGTTTCGAGTCGCTGTTGCAGCTCACTCTTTGGGCTCCGAGGTCGCGGGCTAGCCTTAGTCCTGCGAGGAGTGCCACATAATCTGCCTGGTTGTTGGTCACTTTGAAGCTGAACTTGAGGGATTGTTCCAAGGTAACTTGATTTGGCCCCTCTAGAATGATACCTACACCACCACCTTTAGAGTTGGAGGACCCGTCAACGTGTAAAGTCCATACCTGGGGTTCCTCGGCAATAGTAGGCGTGAGCTCGGCTATGAAGTCGGCCAGGCACTGGGCTTTTAGGGCGCCGCGACTTTCGTACCAGATGCCAAACTCGGATAATTCTACTAACCATGCGATCATTCGTCCGGCGAGTTCCGGTTTTCTCAGGATTTGCTTTATGGGGTAGTCGATTTTGACTACCACCTGGTGGCTTTGAAAATATGGTCGGAGACATCAGGCCGTGGTGACGAGTGCTAGCGCCAACTTCTCAACCATCTGGTATCGCTTCTCCGCGTCCTGGAGGACTCGGCTGATGAAGTAGATCGGTGTCTGCGTCTTCTGGTTTTCTTGCACTATTACAACACTGATGGCGTTTTCTGCTATGGCCAAGTAGAGGACGAGGTCGGTGTTGTGATTCGGTCTCTGTAGGATCGGTAGGGTCGAGAGAAAGGTTTTGAAGCTCTGGAAAGCTTCTTCGCACTGACCTGTCCACTGCAAGTCTTTTGGCTTCTTTAGCAGGGTGAAGATTGGCCCTGCTTTCTCCGTGAGTTTGGGGATGAATCGGGACAGTGAGACTAACCTTCCTGCTAGGCGTTGGACCTCTTTCACCGTTTGTGGACTCTGCATCTGGATGATGGCTTTGAATTTCTCGGGGTTGGCCTCGATTCCTCTACTAGTGATCATGAAACCGAAAAACTTGCCCCCCTGAACGCCGAAAACGCACTTCTCTGGGTTGAGACGCATGTTGTGCTTTCTGATCTGGGCGAACACCTCGGTGAGATCGGTAGCATGGTCTATTACCGAGGTGGTTTTGACCACCATGTCGTCGACGTAGAGTTCCATGTTCCGCCCGATCTATTGGTGGAAAACCTTATCCATCAGTCGCTGGTAAGTTGCCCCCGCATTTTTGAGGCCAAAAGGCATCACCCGGTAGCAGTAGTTGGCGTGGTCGATGATGAAAGACGTGTGCACCTCGTCGGGTGGGTACATCATTATCTGATTGTACCCAAAATAGGCATCGAGGAAGTTGAGGAGGGCGTGCCTGGATGCTTCGACGACCAGCCTGTCAATGCTTGGCAAGGGGTATCAGTCTTTGGGGCATGCTTTGTTCAAGTCGGTGTAATCGACGCACATGCGCCACTTTCCCGAACTCTTCTTCCCCAGAACCCCATTCGCCAGCCATGTGGTGTACCTGACTTCACGGATGAAGCCGGCGCTTAGCAACTTTTGTGACTCGGTGATGATGGCCTCTCGCCTCTCACCACCGACCTTTCTCTTTCTCTGGGCCACTGACTTTACTTCCTTGTGTATCGCTAACCGGTGACAGATGAAGTCAGCGTCTATACCTGGCATGTCAGCGCTGGACCAGGCAAAGAGGTCAGCATTTTTGAGGATTTCAGCTTCGAGCTGCTGTCGCAACTCCGGGCTCAACTGTCTGCTGATATTTGTGCACTGCCCAGGAAATTTTCCGATCTGGAGGTCATCGAGCTCATCGACGGGACTTGGCTGTTCGTCACGAGAGTCGGATCTCGGATCGAGATCAGTGATTTCTTTGTGGTTGTTGTGAGCTGCGGTGGGGGCGCCACTTTTGCATTGTTCACCGGGTGAGGCGATCTTCAGGCTTTCGGGGTAGCATTGTCGTGCCGTCTTCTGGTTCGGCCTCCCGATGATTATGTTGTAGGAAGTGTTGGCTTCCACGAGGAGGTACCGAACCATGACCCTTCTTGTGTTCGGAGGTGCTCCGAAAGTTGTTAGTAGGTCCACGTACCCCCGAGTGTGAACTCTCTTTCCTGCAAAACCGGCTAGGGGCCCTGTGTGAGGTTGTATGAGAGAGTAGGGGATGTCTAACCTGAGGAACGTTGGCCAATACAGGACGTCGCCCAAGCTCCCTTGGTCGATAAGTGTCTTGTGAACCTTCCAATTGGCCAACTCCACGGCTATAACCATGGGATCATCCTGGTTGGGATTGACCCCGACATAGTCGTTGTCGGTGAAAGTAATCATCGGTGAGCTTTGGTGCGAAGCTGAGATGGTAGGGTGTATGCAGTTGATATTGCGCAGGTGTCTTTTGCGGGCCGAGCTGCTGGCGCCCCCTCCTGCGAAACCACCTGCAATTGTATTGATCACTCCCCGTAGGGGAGCTGGCCCTGTTTCCTGGCTTACCTCGGCTTGCACTACTCCGCCGGGGTTGAGTTGAGAGTCAGAGGGTTGGTCCGTGCGAGCTCCTGAACCATATCCTCTGTCTCGTCCTGGTCCACTATAGCTTCCTTGGTGACTTCGCTGGACATAGTGGCCGAGGTGGCCGAGGTGACTCCTCGGTGGTGTGGTCGTGATTCCTGTGGTACCGGCAGTGTTTGGACTTGTCCGCACTGTTGGGAGTGTGGCCTGGCGGTGGCAGGGCGAGCAGGTTGCTGTTACTGGCCTCCTCTAAAATGCGGACTCTGGATGTGTTCAGGGGAGTGTAGAAGTCATATCTCCACCCTCTGTTTGCTCTAGCCGATTTCTTGAATTGGCTGTCATTGTTGACTTTTACCTTATCCTTGTGACTCTACTCTGTCTTCGTTGGTCCTTTTCCATGAATTTGGTCACGGAAAGCGGAGTGTTCCTCCATCTGGATGTATCCTGCAGCGCGAGCGCGGAGCTCGTCCATGTCGCGGGGAGACTCACGACATAGGCTGTCGGTGAATGGCCCGGGCTTGAGTGCCATAAGCATGGCATGTAGGGCGACCTCGGGGTTCAAATTTCTGATCTTAATCGAGGTGGCGGCAAATCGTTCCATGAACACCTGGAGTGGTTCATCGTCGTCCTGCCTGAGGCTGGGCAAGGCGGCCGAAGTGACATGGTGAGGTCGGCTCGTCGCATACTGCGCTGTGAACCTTCTGACTAGGGTGCCGAAGCTATCAATGGACTCGGCGGGTAGTTGGGTGTACCAGTTGAGCGCGGCCCCCTTGAGCGAGGTCGGAAAAACCCTACACAGAATATCCTCATTATTAGTGTAGAGGTTTACCTGTGTTGTATACAAGTCGATGTGCTCATCTGGGTCCGTCGTGCCATCGTAGCGATCGAGGTGGAGAGGCTTCCACCCATGAGGGAGTGGTGTCTCCATGATGCCATCCACAAAAGGGTGGCGACGGAAGGTTGCCTGATCCCCTGGGATATGAGTAGGGGTCTTGTTGACTTCATGGGCCGATTTGTGCGTCGTTGCATGGGACCGATGCGTGGCAGGTCATTGAGTCGGTGCCCTAGTCGCGGTTCGGGGTTGAGAAACTGAGTGCTCATTCTCTTCATTCTGGTTGCTCGTATGAGGAGGATGATCAGATTGTCGCCGAGGGAGTTGGGCGCGAATTCGCTCGTTTTCCACGCGTAGCGCCGCTAGGTCAGCCTCATTAGCGGTTCGCATTGCGGCTAGGTCAGTTTCGTGCTTAGCGCGCATGTTTTGCAGATCGGCGTCGTGTTGTTGCCGCATCTGTTCGACCTGATCGATCAACCTCCTCAATGCTGCTTCGCTATCCATGGTAGATGGATGATCTAGGTCGTCTGTTGCGCGTCTGCTATGGCTTCTGGTGTAAACCATAAGCGTGGCCGATAAGAGCTGTCTTGATCGGCCCCACGGTGGGCGCCAAATGTTCTTACCGGAAATCTGCTGTAGAGATGATCCTCCGAGTAAGATGGGTGAGCCTCCTTCGCGGGTACGCTTGATGCTGCGGGATGGGGGTGGTACCTGCAAAAGAGACTCCAATGCTAAAGTTAGGGTTTGTATGAGTATGAGTCTCGTATAAGTAATGCACGTACCTTAGTGTGAGTTAGGGTTGCTTTGGGCCCTAGGCCTGAGATGAGATATGATAAGATTAGATAACGGATCTCGTCTGGAGCGAGATTCCCTGAGATCAGTTATGATCTACTTAAATGCCGAGCTGACGTCGCGTAGCGTGTGCCCGAGGTCATCTTGCACTGTGATGCCGAGCTCAGAGCTCGGTTTCGTAGTACGGATAGTACAGTTTGTAATTGGCCTCTTTAATCCAAGTAGCTTTTAGGGTAATTCGACTAGTGTTTGTGGGAGTGGCTTGAATACCACCAAGGTCACTTCAAGCTCCCACCCTAGGGAATCCGATTAGCACATTCTTTAATTGCTTTCTTTGAATGCTTTATTGCTCTGTTAGTATAATTTCCTAGGATCTTTTACTTTGCTTGTTTTCATTTTAGAAGGCTTCAAGTTGACTACTAGGGGGTTGTGCACACACACACACACTCAATTCTTGTGCAAGATTGTTTTGTAAGAAAGGTTTAAAAGGGCTTAGTGATTTTTACTTGAAAATGCTTGGTTTTTAAGTGATTCCTTGTATTCCACCTCCCTTGATAGTTTAATTTGTACACTTAGGCCTTCTAATACCAATCTTGCACCTTCAAAAATATTTGTGAAAACCTTTTATCACTCATTCTTTGTGAAAACCTTTTTGTGCCAACCTTTTGAACTCTATTTTCAAAAACCTTTCTTGATCAAAGATGAGTGATCATTCTAGTGTACATGGTCATAATTCATTGTCGCAACACAAAAATTTTCGATCTCGCGACCTATGGATTAGACATCCGTTTGAAAATATCATCAATTAAGGAATGCCCAGATACCAGACTAATCCCTAATTAATTTCCCTCCGAGTTATCCAGGTAGGCTGTCCTAATCTCGTAAACTCATACGAGTTTACGAGTTATCACTAGAGATTGACAACCATGAGGATAATGGTTATTCACTATTATTGCTAGTTTGGGAAAAAAAAAATTACCC